CTGACCTATTTCCTGTCTCACTCCACGCAGTTTGTATTCAGCAGTTAAGGAGAGGAATGAGCAAAATTAAATTGTCTGTTATCCGCCATGTAGAGGGAATGTCACCAGCTTTATTTCCATGAGATTAAGTATTCACTAAGTAATTTTAGCTACTATGGTATACCCACAGAGAAACAATATGGGTTTTGGTTGTGGGGTTTTTTTCTCCGGGTTGTTTTTTTCTTTGGTTGGTTTTGGTGGTTTTTTTTGTTTGTTTGGGTTTTTTTTGGTTTTTTTTGTTTTTGTTTGTCTTGATAAGCCTATTGTAAATCTCCCCATGATTTGCTAGAAGATGATACACTACCCTGAGTTTTGCTCTCCTTGCAAATCCTGAAAATCACCCTTTCACATGAATCACTCTGAACATGCCACTGGGTTCACATTAATTTCTGACTATTCAGTTTATATTTAAAGTTTGGTGGGGGTTTGGGGGATTTTTTTTTTTTTTTTTTTTTGTTGATTGGTTTTTAGGTTGGGTTTTTCGTTGGGTGTTTTTTGGTTTTGTTTTGGGGGGGGTGTTTGGGTTTTTTTTAAATAATTTAAACAAGAAAACGTTTTCATGGGATTAATCCCCCCAGATTGTCTACATCTTACTTTGTATATGCCAGAATGTTTACAAGGAGTCTGTTGCCCTTGGAACATATCCTTTAAACTCTGATTTTGAGAGCCTAATGTAATCATCCATGTCTGAAATCTTAGTCTCCTTTACTCCTCTATTAAGAATAGTTGCTACTTTACTACACTCTCAAGTGGTGCTTTCCAGCAGGACTCTCACCTTCAGGATCAATATCAGCATACAAAGACAGTCAGCTAATACTTTGTGTCTCTTGCTTCTTACAAATCTCCAGCGTGCATTTGGAAATTATGTGGTTGCCTCATTTTCAGAGGAAATTCCTTAGAAATTATGTTGACGCTTGAGCTGATATAGTATTTTTGTTAGTGTTTCTTGCATAGGTAACGGAAGGTTCTAAACCCCTGACCTCCTCAAGGGTTCAAATCATCATCTCTGGATTTTCAGTCAACACTTGCTTATTTCTCTATAGAGACAGCAAGCATTACTTCAAAGTATTCCACGTATTTGCTCATTGTTTTGTTTCACATGCCTTACAGTGATTATATGGCACTAGTATGGATAAGCAGTGGTACACCAAAGAATTGCCATGCTTAGGGAATATAGTCTACTCTTTTATAGAAGCATGAAAATGAAATTGTACTTTTATTTATGACTGAGAATGTACTCTTATTTATGGCTGCATATTGCACATGAAACATGTTTCATACATAGCACTATAATCATTGTAGCGAACACTGAACTGGAAATCATAATTGAATTCTATGACATTTCATTTTTCAGCCTACAAGAAATTTGTGCTTGCAACTACCATTTCATAAATGGCAGATAATCTGCTAGTATTCTGTAGATCTTTACCTTCAGCAATCACTATGGCATTAAAGTAACCCCTTTTGTTGTAAAAGGCCAATTTAAGTCCAATTATTCAGTATTCTGCAGTCTCTAATAATACCATAATGTTTATACCATTATTGTGGAAAGCAGCAGGGTTACAAGAATAGCAGCCAACAGATGTTACCTTTTTAAGGGAGTGAGCATGTGCTCTTCAGAAAATTCTTTACTGCAGAAGGCTTTTGCAGAGACAGGATTCTTTTTCAGCCCGTTCACACCTATTTAAAGTATCAGGACAGTGTCATTAGCGTGTAAAGGTCAAAGGCTCTGTGGAAAGTCTCAAAGCATTTGTTCATGCCTCATTACATGTAGTGATCTCTAAGGGCACTGGGATTCTACCAAGGGTTGTTCCTGGAGATCAGAGGAATAATCTGTTTTGTTATTTTTTCCCTTTTTTTTTTTTTAAATAAATGAAAGTGTAATGCTTCAAATTTGTACTCCTAATATATTTTCAAAATACAGCTTCAAAACTGGAAGCAAATAAATTACATTTTCCTTAATTTTTAATTAGCTGAAAGTCATCACTGCAAATTGTGTCTTCCATTACAAAATAAAATAGTCAACTGCCAGGCCTGAAATAATTAAGCAATATATTATAATTAAGCAATTTAATTTTGATTTAATTATGATATATCATGCAACTTGTCTTCTGATTTAACTGACATTCATTGACAAAATGCTATAATATAAACCAGCGCTAATGTTTAAAGCTGATGGCTCTGCATGTTTTGCTTCATAGTATTTGGCATTCATCAGAGCATATGGAAAAAGTCTTCTAGTCTAGGGGAGCTAGCATTTTATTTCATACTACCCAAATTATGCTCTAGATTTTTTTCACAATTGTTATTTTGGGAGGCAAGTGGGAAAGTCTGCAGATACTAGACTTGAGCCAGAGTTTATGGATATTAACTGGAATCTTTCCATCGATTTCTGTCCGCTTCAAATACTGAACTGCTCCCATGTTGTTACAGGCAAATAGATAAGACTGCATGCTTATGAAATATTTATGGAGCTGCATCGTATACATATTCTGTGTCAACATGAACATGATTTTATATTAGGCTAGAGATCGTGAGAGCAAAGGCAGAAGTGATGAGCAGGCAGGGAATACTGCTTCATTCAGTGCTGCATCAATAAAATTGCTGCAAAATATCCACCAAACAGCTTCCTCAGAACAGGAGCACCCCCCTATTTAGTTAAAATCTCTTTCATTGTATGACAGTATTAGAGAATGGCTTGTATTACAGACTATGTGTGCAAACCCCTGTTTAATGGCAAGAATGGTGAGGGTGATATACAAAGATACATTCTCCCTGCAGTCCAGATCTGAGTCTGCAGGTCTTCATGACTGTGGGCTCATGGAAGTAAAGTTGAAGGACAAAAAGTCAATTCTTTTTTTGATTTAGTGATTTGAGCACTCTCGGCAACATCCATGAAAGCAGTCACAAGGCAGGAAAGCTCATGATTCATCATATTGCATGAAGTCAGACACTCTTACGCCCCTTTAATTTTGATGTGTTGCCTTTTTCTCCTTTGGTGATGTTTAAATTTCTCAGCAAAAGATCAAAGGCCAAATGTTTATGTCTGGGCTGAGAGCAATTGTACACTCAGAGCAGTAATGAATGTTTGTTATCTCTCGAACCCTTTCACCCTCTGGTTTTCTGAAGAAAAACAGAACGATTATTCAGAGCAGCGATAGTTAGGATGCTGCAGAATATCAGAACAATGTGTTCAGAAACAATATATACATTTCAGCCAACCTTCTTTTGCTAGCAGAATCACTTTGTGCATGTCACATCATCTCACCTTCACCCCACTGGCCCAAAACTCTTTGCTTTGTAATTGTGGTATGTTGACCCTGGCTGGACACCAGGCGCCCAACAAAGACACTCTATCACTCCTCAAGTGGACACAGAAGATTAAATGTAACTTGAAACTTATGGGTCAAGATATGGGCAGGGAGAGATCACTAATTACCATCATGGGCAAAACACGTTCAACTAGGGGAAGTTAGTGTAATTTATTGCCAAACAGATCAGAATAGGATAATGAGAAATAAAACCAAATTTTAAAAACACCTTCATCCCTTCCTCCCTTCTTCCTGGGCTTAACTTTACTCCCAGTATTCTCTGTCTCTTCCCCGCCAGCAGAGAGGGTATGGGGAGTTGCAATCAGTTCATCAGATGCTGTCTCTGCTGCTCCTTCCTCCTCAGGGAAGGACTCCTCACTCACTTCCGCTGCTCCAGCTTGGAGTCCTCCCCAGGCTGCGGGTGGATATTGGCTCCACTGTGGGCATCCATGGGCTCCAAGAGGAGATTCACTCCACTGTGGACCTCCATGAGCTGCAGGGGCACAGCCTGCCTCACCAGCACCACGGGCTGCAGGGGAATCTGTGCTCTGGCACCTGCAGCCCCTCCTGCCCTCCTTCGGCACTGACCTGGGTGTCTGCAGAGCTGTTGCTCTCACATATTCTCCTTCCTCTCTCCCAGTTGCAATTGCCGTCATGCACGTTTTCCCCCACCACCATCATCATCACTTACTGATGGGCTCAGCCTTGGCCAGCAGTGGCTCCATCTTGTAGCCAGCTGGCATCGGCCCGTTTGGACATGGGGAAAGCTTCTGGCCCTGTACCCAACCACTACACAAACCTTGCCATGAAAACCCGTTAGAGTAATTTGCACTCAAGGTTTTGAAAAATGCCCTTTAAACAACATGAAATTAAAAATATGCTGATGCAGGATTATGATTGTGACAGCCTCTCAGATATTTAAATATGGCTGCATTTAGATACCCTACAGATGTCGTAGTTTCATGAATACACTGAGACATCTGAATAATTTAAGAGAATATTGTCAGTAGCAAATGTCACACAAAATAACTGGAGGGAAAATTGCCTTCAATAAGTGTAGATAAAAATGGATGGAAGTCAGTTTCTGTTTAATATACAAGTTACTTAAATAGGAAACAATAGGGTTTTACTTTGAGAAGAAATCTTGAACTGTTTTTATTATATCCTTATCACTTTATTTATCTTATAAAGACATTTCAGCTATGATCCACACCTCTGTAGCGCTCATAGAAAAATAATTCTGTAAATAGTCTGTGAAATTTGCACGTAGGAAGTGGTTATTACCCAATTTGCTTACACTTTCAGACTTGAAGGAGAAAATGTAAATCTGCATGAGAGCTTTACAGTAATTTTGAAGTTTCAAATTCAGCAGTTCAAAATGCAACACCATTGGAGAAGAACTCAAAGAAATAAAATAATCCTGGCTGAAATTAACCCCGCAAAAGGCTTCATGTATTTTCTAGTAAGGATTTTATGAAGGTCATGAAGCAATATGCTGGTACAGTTGTATTTACCCAGTAAGCATGAGCACCAAGAGATATTCTGCCTATTTAGTCATTTGTTGATGACAGATCCATTCCAGTGACTTTATTTTTTTTCTCTTTTTTTTTTCTGTTTTTTATTTATTTGTTTATTTATTTATTCCAACAGCTTACCCAGGGGTTAAAATGGTGAGTGAAAGTCATCATGAGGCCCTGGCAGCACCCCCAGCTACCACAGTAGCAGCAGCCCCTCCAAGCAATGTCACTGAGCCAGCCAGTCCCGGAGGAGGGGGAGGAAAAGAAGATGCATTTTCTAAGTTAAAAGAGAAGTTCATGAATGAACTGAACAAAATTCCACGTAAGTAAAACTTGATTGGTTAAAAAGCTTGTGTTAGCAGATTAGATTGAATTAGAGATTTTCTTCTCTGTCATTTCTTTGGACAGCATACTAAATGTTTTCAAGTCAAAACTAGAAAAATCAGAAGGCAAACCTGGTTTAGTAAACTACTCAGAATTAGCTGGAGAACAGAAAGGGTCAAACTCATACAATCTGAGTCAATTCTTGGTATGTCAGATTGTTTTGGTAATTTTTACTGATGATTTTTTGCTGAATCATCAAAACTGGAATGGCAGAACTTCACAGTGGCCATGGGACCAATAAGTAAATATTTCCTAACTTTGGGTTTCATGTTTATGACAAATGTGTGTGGGCATATTATCTTAAAGCAGAATTTCGCCAGAACTCAAAAATACTGGGAAAATAAGGGAACTGTGTATCTTTGGGGATTAGAAAATGTGAAAGTGTGAAAATGTCTTTTAAACAAGGAAATAGCTCTAATACATCAGTAATATATTAAGATGATAGCCATGTTTTTCCCACTCAAAATTCTGTTAGATCATCCATAATGTTGTTTGCGTGAGTTCCTTTACTATTCAGAACAGTTTAAAAGTATCAATGTATATCTCTGTGAAATCAATAGGGTTAAAGTCAGCAGGGTTCTTTTGGTCTGTAATAGAAAGTATTGATTTAAAGTCGAATCCTCAATTTGTTCACATTTATAAAAAAAAATAAGCATTAGCTTTTTGCTCTTGTCTATGATAATTCTAAGGTTCTTGAATCTGTTTGGTATGTGTTAGTATGCATACACTGGTATTAAATATACAACTAATTCAATATTGACAGTGTTGTTTCAGCTAATAAAGAAAAAACCTTTTTGTTGCTGACAGAAAAATTACCTAATGATGCAAGGAGATAATTTTGCCACTTTTGTAGACATGAAAGTGAAGGCTGTGTGTGCATGTGTGGTTTAACAGCAGGCATTAGAGAGTCATTCAGTCTTTAATAGTTTTTACATCAGAAGAATAAGTAAATGTAAAATATTTTCAGGGATGTATTTTAACATATGTAAGAGCTTTCATTTTTAGAAGGTTATAATTTGTGTAACGAAATGTTGTGTGACTGATTAAAGACACATAACAAATTAGAATATTAATTGATTTTTTTATCTCTGAAATGGATCGTGGCAATCTGGCAGATGCGATTTTTGCAAAACTGAGAGCAAGCAGCTTTGCTCTGTCACTCGAAATTCTCACTTGCAAGAATAGAGGTGTTACGGTGGTAAGAAGTCCATATGTCATTAGATAGGTAATCTGCACAGTCCAGTGCAGACCAAACTGAAATGAAATTGCACAATGATACCATGGGAAAAACAAAACTACTAGAAGAAAAAATAATGAAAAAAAAGAAAAGACCCCAAGGGAGAAGGAGCGCTTGAAACGTTTGTTTTTTAATTTTTATCTCACCATGCTATGTAAGTGATGTAGATGAAACTTTTATGTAAATATTCTTTTATTTTTAAACTTGGATTTTAACCTCACAAAGGTGTGAATGGTTTCCAGTAGGAGAAACTCTGTAATTGGCAAGTCTAGGTAAAGGTCTGCAGATAGAGAGGAACTTCGAATGCAGTACCGCATACTTTTTTAAAACAGCAGTGGAACAAGTGGAAGGTCCAGTCTGGCAGATCTTTCCAGATAGAAATGAATAAAACTTTTTTTTTTTTCTGTTCATAAAAACAAAAACAAAACCAAAACAAACTTAATGCTTGCTGACAAACATGTACTAGGCCTTAAGACAAGTCTTATTTATTATGAAATGAATTGTAATGTATATAAAATATGGTACCTTGTGTTGATAGTGAGACCAGAACATATTGTCCCCATTTCAGAAATCTAGACTCTTATCCAAGATCATGCGGTAATTTTTTTGAGAAATAAACCTGGGGCAGTCACAAATCCCATGCCAATTGTCTAGTCTCCTTCTAGAGGCTACAGATGTGTTTGGATCTTCCCAGCATCTCCATCCCCAATACTTATATTTATTTTTTCCGATTTTACCATTTCAAGAAGAAAGATAAATGTTCATTGTGCGGGTTTTCTTAAATACTTATAATCAGTTATAAACTAACACTAACAGATCACCAAATAAGTTTATAGACTACCTCCAAAATATTTGGGGCAGAGAGGAGAGGAGACCTCATTTTCCTTTTGGAAGATTGTAACATTTCCTTACTATTTGTTTGGTTTATGTCAGTAGGGGGTTGTCAGCAAGGTGTTGTTAGCCCATTGCAAAGCTGAGGATTTGTCATAGAAAAGCTGTCGGAACCTCACCTCCTACAACTGGTTGCAATTTTTTTGTGAATCTCTCTTAGAGCAGAATGTAAATTTTTTCCATCCAAATAATTTTTATAGTGCTTTTCTAGGGATTTCTTTCTGTGTGAGAGAGAATAAATGCAGCGAACAGCCCCATTGGGACAGCACAGATGTTTGGGTGTAAGAACGCTTCCAAGACCATGGAGCATGGTCAAAGTGAAGAGCAGACCCCAAATCTTACACATAGCAGAGGAATGACATAGTCAGCAAGTTCTCTAACCTGTGCACATCACTGACAAGCCTGTTTTGTAGTTCATGTACTTTCTCATTTTAAACTTCCAAAGGTCTTGTTTCATCTCCACGTGACAGGGAAGGCTTTGAAAGTTCAGTAGTTACCGTGAAAGGGTTTTTTTTTCAGTGCTCTGTTGTCTGCGCACAAGGGAGAAATCAGTTGCCTCTGCCTAAGGTGTCTGCAGATGGAAAATAAATCATGATGCTTTAATGGATTTATAGCAGGATAGAACAATACGTACCCATATTGTGATAAAGGTCACCTGCAATCAACTTGGCTGGAGTGATAGAAAAGATGAGCTATGGTAGGGGCTGATTTATATATAGTCTCCTCTTTCTGTTTTGGGTTGGTTGGTTTGTTTGTTTGTTTTTCATAGAAATTGCATAGTCATGCTTATATTAAAAAAACACATTCAAATAGTGGAATACATGATGACAAAAATAAAGGTACAGCAAACTACACCCAACTGAATAAATACTGTTCCTATCACATGGCTTACAATAAAATAGTAATCTTTTCAGAATAATATGTTTTGTAAAACACAGAACTCACAAGTTAGTCTAATAGTCTACACATAGTTAACTAAACAAAAATATCAGGATTCATATGAAGAATTCACATTACAAAACTGTAAGATAGGGTCTGTGCAATTTAAATTATACCAATGTTTTCTTCAGTAATATATGCACCAGAGAAGTCTTATTTTGTCAAAAAGTGCTGAATTTAATAGTTTGAAGAAAGAAGAAGTTCCAGCAAAGGGGCCCATTTGTATTCGTATACATTTATTTCAAGAGCAGTGATGCAATATGAAAATCCAGTTAAAATTTTTATCGATGCAGGAAGAAATACTGGCTTTTTTTCATTGACTTGTATCTCTTTAAAATAGAACATACTCCACATTTTTTCTGGTGGGAGAGTGTAGGCTTCCAAATGATTCAGAATGGTTATGTCCTAACATGTGTTTCACTTGAATAAAGAAAGGGGGATCATTCTATTACGAGTCAGACAATTAAAGCGCAAGAATCCTGTGTATTACCGGGGCATAACTGTGAAGAATTCTTTTCTCCGTTATGTAAATCCCTGCATTTGGGTTATGAGGGGCTGATTTGCATAATCACAGTACAGTTGTTTTTCCATAAATGCACTGTGTATAAGAGTCACTGTGTCTTAATTGGTCCTTATACTTTCCCTCCTAATTTATCTCTAATCTACAGAAATTTTAAGCTGTTTACCAGAAGGACAGGAAAGGCACCATTTCTGCTTTTACACTTTGCATTTTAAAGACAGTAATTCTAACACCTGAAGAAAGGAATAAAATGAAGCAGATAAAATGGCACTTACATTTCTGAAAACTGTGTTAAAAGACTTTGTAAAATACATTGATTCTTTCCTTCCTCCCTCTCACTGCTCTTCCATCTGGACCTTTGTCTGCAGTCTAGGAAAATGTCTGCCATACCTTTACATTTACATAGCATGGGAATGCAAGACAGGAACAGCTTTTGGCCAGAGGCTTTAAATGTCAGGATACTGATGCTGACCAAATGCAAATAAAACAAAGTCAATCAACATTAGTTTACTTAATAAGCATTTTTGTAAAAGAAAAGTGTTGTGTTTCCTTACACATCAAGAACACGTTCCTGTGTGAACAGAAGGCCTCCTTCGGCCAGCAAGGTAAATAGAAAAAAAAACAATAAAATTCCAGTATATATCTGACTAAGTAATGATATGCCATTAACATTTATGGTTTAATATTGAATAGCCGTAATAGCTGAATGCACTGAATCCAGGATACCATCATTACCTCTGTAATAGGAAGTTATTGCATATTTTTAATGCTGTCTGCTTTCTTACATTGTAATTGGATGAGAAGTTACATGTCTATACCAACCTTATTCTGAAAAGTTCAGCTTTCTTGCAGCTCTATTTGTCCTCAGCAGCTGGTGCTTAAAATCCCTGAATTTGATTCATCGTGTACCAACTGACTGATAATCCACCAAACCAGGAGCTCAAAACTGTGTGATGAGTCAGGCTAAACCCTGATGTTCTGTGCAGACTTGCTTCATGTTCTGTTTGCAGATATTTAAAGAAAGGTTTATTTCCCTCTCCCTGGCTTAGTGAGTAACTGTCAAAACAAAATGGGACTGGAGGCTATAGAACGAATTGTAATAGAAAATGTAAAAGTAGCTGTAAGACTCAGGTCTGTTTACATTCTAAATAATACCTTAGTAAGCTGAGGAACAGAGTTGTAGATATTTCGGTAAATAAGCAAATAAAATAATTCTGGATTTATATGTTTACCCGTTTAAGTTAATGTTTCAACATTCAGTAGTCATCCTGGACCCACTTCATCATTTCTTTCTCCCTCCTGCTCTCTGCTGTTCTGCCCTTCTGCCTTTCTTGATTGACTGGCTGAAGTT